CACGCCGTGCTCAGCACATTGCCGGGATGCCGAGGACTCCCCCGCGCTGGCCGGGCAGCCCAGGGCCCGCTCTGGGGGGTTTCGTGGTGCAGCGAGGGGGCTCCACCGCTGGCAGGGACCTGCATCCCTGACGCCTGTTCGGAGGCATTCTGGCTCCGCTGTGCCGGTGATACCTTGCCCTGCGTAGGGCTGTGGGAGCTGAGGCAGCAGGCAAAGAGCTCCACGAACTCCTCGGCTGCTGATGCTCTGCAGAAAGCAGCTTTGACATCACCCCCAGTTCCTGGACCACTCACTCCTCACTGCACCCCAGTATCTCTGCCCCTCCTCTCCCCCCTGGCCCCCCAGACACCACCGGACCCACCCAAACATGTGGTATCTGTTCACATGTTCAAAGGGCTGCTGTGGACTCAAGGCTACACAAATTCCCATGGCATGTCCCAACTCTCCAGGGACATGAGAGCTGCGAGTGCCCTGTGACAGCCCAGCAGCACTAAGCCCTGTGGGACTGAGGATCACCCCAGACCCAGCACCTATCCTGCATAGATGCAGCTGCTGGTTCCCAAATAACCTTAACTGCTTTCAGCACCCTCTTCCATGTTTAGGCTCAGCTTGTCACCTCCCCCTCTTATTTATAGCCTGGCAGCCTGTAAGGAGCTGTTGTGTATCCCCCCTCCTGCACTCCCTGTCCTTTCCTGGAGCCACAAGGGGCACAGAAGGGGCACCACTGAATTAAAAACAGTTTTAATGGCCACGTTTGCTTTGGTCTGAATCCAAGGACACTTGTGACAAGGCAACTCGGAGCCCCTAGGGCACATGTGGCTCCACCTGAGGGGATGCAGGCACCAAGCAGCAGAAGGCAGAGCCTGGATTCAGCTGCCTGCACCCCACATCCAGCACTGTCCAGAGGGTACAAGTGGGGCAAGTACCATAGTAGAGCTTTTTCCCTGTGAGAGGCACCAATCTATGACCCTGGCAGGGCTGAGCATTTCTGTCCCATGTCCTAGCAGAGTCCAGCAGCATGTCTAATCCTGAATTAAATATTCCTCCTAGGAGAGAGCAGAAAACCAGGTCTCTCTGTGTCCATCCAGGCAGGTGTTTGGAGCTGGTTGGACTGCATGAGTCCAGCTCATGCTCCCCATGTACCAACAGGGGGTTCCCAGCCCATCCACGAGGGGAAACAGGCACTGCTGCTGCAGAGATGGAGATTCCCTGCTCCAGGGCTTGGCAAAAGATGTCCAACCGTGGCACTGGCAGAGCTGAGACATGTTGCTGCAGGATGAGAGCTGCCCTGCTGCCGAGGTTCCTGCTGCCTCACCCCATGGCTGGCGCCCTACCTGCCTGCCCAGGATGAGTGGTTGAAGACAATGTTCCCCCTCTTGGCCCAGCGGGAGAAGATGGCTTTCTCGGTGATGAAGCGGTGTCCAGCACGGCGAGCTTGCTCGTGCATCAGGTACGTCTTGCACTCGTCCAGCCGGCCCTTCTCAAAGTAGTGGTATGGCACGCTGGAGTGGTTCTTTTCCCTGGCAGGAGAGGACAGGGTGAGTGTGGGACTTGGGGGGACACTGCAACACCCCACGCCTGCCCCTGCCACCCCCCCACACCTGCAGTAGCTGTCGCTGACCATGCCAAAGACACTGATCTTCTCACACAGCTCCATGGCCAAGATCATGGTGAACCAGCCCGTGCTCAGGAAGGAGCCAGATTTCATCCTGCAAAACATTGTGGAGTGGGTGGCACTGTGCTGCTGGCTCACCCACACTATAGTGCTTGATGGGCAGACAGGTGGTGCATCAGGGGGGCTCCTCAGGAGCCAGCAGTACCTGTTCTTCCCTGTCTCCTTCTGGAAGACATCATCACAGTATGTCATCTTCTCCTCAGTCAGGGTGTAGATCTGCACCTGGGGGTACTTCTCCATCACCTTGAGCAGTGCCTGGTAGGTTGAGCCCTTCTCCCTGTTCATCTTCTTTGCTGGCCCCCAGATGACGTAGAGGGTATCTTGGGACTGCTGGAAGAAGTAGGGCTGGTTCCCCAGCAGCAGCGGAACGCTGGTGTGTGAGACCACCCGGACAGTGCAGCGTGTCCCCACATCCTGCTCGTAGCCGGTGGTGGGGGCATGGTTCATGCGTAGGACACACTCCTGCCTGTCGATGGCCTGTCCCAGCTGGGAGCCCAGCATCTGCCCCGAGCTAGAGACGATGGCACAGTGGTGGCACAGCACTCGCTCCAGCGGCTGTGGGGAGATGCACGGTCAGCTCCTGCTTCCCTCCCACAGCAGCTGGACACACCACAGCCCCTGCCTGCCCTTCCCAAAGGACAGGGAAACTGAGGCACAGGTGGGCGGAACTGTCTCGCCAGCCCCAGCGCTGCCCCATCCCCACGCACCTTCCCATCGGGAACGCGGCTGTATCCCTGGAAGCTGCGGACGCTGGATGCGGAGGGGCTGTCCCGCAGTCCCGGGGCTGGACAGCAGGGCTGCGAGCGGGTGCGGTAGCACAGCACGGTGAGCAGCATCGCCACCACCACCGTGCACACCAGCGTTAGGAACAGCCCGACCTAGAAGCAGAGCGGGAAGAGTTCTCCGGACCCGTCCACGTGCACCGGCCCCGTGCCGGATGCCGGTGGCTCCCTGGCCATGAGGGAGCTGCCCCTCGGAGGATGCTGAAGTACCGGGCCCGGCTCACTTCCTGCAGAAGCGATGCCCGCACGCCCTTCGGGCTCCATGCCGCCGGCGAGCACCGGCCGCAGCCGAGCTCAGCCCCCTCCAGCACCAATTTTAGGGTCCCACCGGTCCCTCGCCCCTGCCCCAGCGGGTACTCACCAGCGTCTTCATCCTCGGGGGGCTGCCAAATCACCGGGAGGGTGGGGGCTCGCAGCCTGCAAGCGGAGCGGGCTCAGCGGCGGAACCCCGGGGTGAGGTCGCCCAGCGGGATCCCCCGGTCCCCCAAGGCCCGGGGTTTCCCCCCCACGCCTCGCGCCGGGACCTTCCCGAGGCCATTACCGGGATCCCCCCACGCACCCTCATTCCCACGACCCCTGGGGTCTCCCCACGTGTCCAGTATTCCCCTCCGTGTTCCGGTTCCACGGGTGCCGCCCCGCCGGGCAGAAGTCGGGGCCGGGGCGTCCCCCCGGCGCGGCGTCCCCGGTTCCCGGTGCCAGCCCCACTCACCGAGCCGGGAGCCCCCAGCGCCGCCGCCGGGGGGTCCTGCATGCCGCCCGGAGTGGGGCTGGCGGGCCGCGGCGGGGCCAAGCCGAGCGGCCACTGCCGGGACTGGCACTGGGACCGCCCCAAGCTCCGCCCCGCGACCCGGCTCCTCCGGGGACGCGCCCACCCATGCCCGGGAGCTCGTGCCCGGCGCACCGGGACCGAGCCCCGCACCCGCCTCGCATGTCCCGATACCGATCCCCGCCTCTCTCCCTGCCGTGTGCCTCGGTAG